CAATGCTACTCAGCGTTCAAAAATCCCATTGAAGTGAATGGGTAATGCAGCTACAAGAGTCTGCACCAAAGTTCCTGCGGAGGTTCCTAAATGGATATTCAGAGAARCTTTGYATGAAAACACTTAYCTTGTAATGCAAGAATAAAGGATGYTTTAAAAATTATTAATTTAAGSATTATTTTCAAAAAAGTTTTTCCGTGAGCAAAGCCAACAGAGAAATATGTGTCCGCAGGTATTTAGAAAGATCTTTTGTGACCACAGCAAGCCTACAACATTACAGTATTTCCTATATTTAGCTGTAATAACATTCTATAAGGAGAATCTCTATTCCAAAAGAAGGGCTTCAGGGAATATTTCCAAATAGTGAAAGAATAAATAGTGTTTTGCCTTAGGTTCAAGGGGAGGTAAAAGGAGAAAATTAAATTTTTAGAATGTTGGACCCCCAAATGGGTTATTGGGTGTTYAGGCAACARTTAAAGATCCCTTYCAACCCTAATTATTCTRATTCCATGAGTCTCAATACTCTGGTTTAGAATTAACATGGCCAAAAGGAAAGTAGCRCTAACTACCTACCAAGGTTAGCTTTTTGGGGTAAGAGGTGAGARCTCAGACTTTAATCCCTTTCCAATTCCTGGTTCAGTAGTAAGATGCTTCCCAACCAGACTGCCATAAAATACTACTGCAGGACATTCTATATGAAGGGCCCCAGGTGAAGAKGAGTCATTTGGATCAGTCAACAACACTGAGTTTGCCTGAAAACTCTGAGCAAAACTTTTCACATGTTATGGGAAAGGGCAATTATTTRGCAGACTGAAAGTGAACTGAAATTCTTCCCTGACATCTGCTGTTGCATGCACAGATTTGGAGATTTATGCCAGGCTTTTCTCAGACMATCCAAGTAGCACATGTATTTATATGCTTATAGCTGTGCATAAAGGTACTTTCCAGACACTTAATGTRCACTTGTGCATCTCCACGTACACCTGCGTGCACACCAGGTAGTCATTTGCTTCCTTCAAGGAACTTGGAAGGTCTGGCTTCCCACTTCTGTTGCTCTTACATGTCATGTCAGACTACAGCTGAATACAAAAAGGAGGCAGGGAGAGATGTGACAAGAGCATAGACAAAATAGGYATGTTTCCTCTCACATCTTTGCCTCCTGCTAGCTTTGAACTCAAGTCACAGGATAACCAAACACTAAAAAGGATGGGTGGCATTCYCTCCAAAGTTTCCCTTCACCAGCTTTTGATTTGAATTTTAACAGAATTTCCCAGGGAACAATTTTGAAAAAAACCGTGCTCATTCATCTATACACAGATTGAATTTATATAACTTAATGTATTATTGTGAATTCCAAATGAAATCTTAACCATTGTACTCTAATTTTTCAGATGCAAACATATAAACATATCACATGAAAGAAAAAACATCAAATATAAAAAGGTAGAATCCCATTTTTACAACATCTTTTCCCTCCCTGAAATTTAAAGATATTTTGTATAGTAATCTTTGAAGTATCAAACAAGATAATTACATAGGTAAGATAAAGGAGCCACAGTCTGAATAACTTCATGCTCAGGTTTCTAGAGAGTGTGTTTTTGAGGAAGCAAAAAATTCCATATATTCCCATTCTCAAAACAAGTCAGAATGTGACCTGCCCTGTGAACAGAAAAACATCTATTCTACTTTTATTATTTTCTTAAAGGGATAWTCTTTCAGTTAATAGTAAACAAAAAAGTAAACAAGAAAGGAAATCTAGCATGAAATTACACATAATRAGTTGCCCWTTCCTCTTTGAGTACTTAACTAGAYAWGATTTATCTTTAATGGTCTTAATTGTCATAAAACAGYGACTTTCTCAAATAAAAACAAAAACCCAAAGGTMATTACTTTTTCATTAACATTCYTCATAATATAATGTTGTATTGCCTRTTAGTCCTTTGAASCATCTCTCCCTACTGAATGTGGTTTAATGTGATCAAAGCAAATATTTTAATTAGGACACTGACCAAGAACAGATTTACAATAAACTTRAAACACTTTTCCTGTGGAGTACTCAATAGGATTCACTGGTGTTAAAAATGCTGTAATGTTTGGACCAAGACACCTGCATTAGGATTTTTTAAAGAGTAACACTCACACTTACTGACTTTAACTACAACCTGTATCCTAAGGAAAACACAATGCATTATTGATTCCTGAAAGTCTGAGGCAAGAGTGTTTCAGTGAATAGAACACACCGCTGATTTGGCAGTGTAACCAGAAATGAACTTTGAAATGGTATCTCTCTCATTCAGAGCTATGAATTACACTTTCCTATAAAATTTAAAGTTAATTCCATTTTGTTATACATTGTATTCTCATGTGTGTAGAATTGTAACTTTTTTTGTTGTTGTTTGAAAGAATAGGCCTYTCACTTTGCAAACATCTTTAATTTTTTATTGTGTTTAATGACATGCTGACAGCATTATCAATATTCCCTTTTTGTTACCATAATACCCAAATATGCTCATGGTATGTGCAGCAATTCACGTGAAATGCTTTTAAGTATTTGCAGATTTTGACAATTTTCTATGTTTAAAACTCCAYGCCCCAACATACATCAAGGGAAGTAAAGTAGAAGTTTTATAAGGTTTGAGGCTTATCTCCTCTCCTCTCATGGATACAGAAAAAGATAAAGAAAGAAAAAGGGGTGAGAGCCATAAAGAAAACTGCATATTCCAACAGATCTTCTAGAAAGACAAGAGTACTAAACTAGGTTGAATAGGTAATTAAATTCTGACATTAAAAATATTATTTGAATTACAGAATCAACATCAACACTTTAGTTATCAATTCACTGTGCTGCAGAACACTGTTGTAGGCASTGATTCCTACATCTGTAGGAAAATCATTGGCCAAGTCTTGCCTGTTAATTATGTAAATTYTCTTCCTAGATTACACTTTTCTTTTCAGTTGGCTTCTGTACAGTATAGACCTATTCTGATCTATTAGTGAGCACACAAATTCTGACACTCTGCACTGTGAAATTTAATTGAAAATGAACCAATTACACCAAGCCACCTTTTAGGGAAATTACTGATAAAAAGTGCAGTATGGTTTCATCTCCATCTTGTTACATGCAAAGGCTTAGAACTGCTTCAAATTGTTTTTACAGTAAACCATGATTAGAAGATTATACGATGTACAAGAGTGTAAAATGTTGCACATTTTTCTAAGTTTACACATTGATGTTACAGAAGTGTCTGTATGACACTTCCTTCATTTCCAGAATTTCCTTTACCTATTCATATTAATTTTT